TCACATCAGTTGCTGTCTACTGGGCATTTCCTAACTATCAAGTTAGTACCTTAGCTCCTGGATTTGAATGTGAAGATTAGTGAGGCACTGAAGGCAGGGGCACAATAAGCATTTCAGTCTCTATTACCAGTAGGAAAAAGAAAGGAGCTGCTTAATCTTTCATACATTTTCATGGCTACTATTTTTCTTGAAAATGCTTTCAAACCCCTTTATTTTGCATGGATAGTTCAGGAATCTGTATCCTAACAGCTACCTTTCAGTCTGCACCTAGTATGGGCCAGGCATTGTAAATAGACACTTACCAAGGCTTATAACAACCCATCTTGCCCTGCGGTCACACAGCTGGTAAGTGGCAGAATGGACTTTAGAACAGAGCTTTCTAATACTTTAAAGCTTGGAGATTTTCCTTTACACTGTGTTACCAAAACCCAGATCACAAAGAGGGAGTCTGAGGATAGTGTAGCTGGGTTGCTTACCTTTGTGGTCTACCAGACTTAGACCCTCTCTGCCAAATTAGAAAGGACAAATAAAATATATTCTTTTTAATGCCTCAATATTGTCACTTGTTATATGGTACTACAATTAAATGTTTGCCTCTTCACATCCCTCCCCCCAACTCTTTGAGGGCAAGGGACTTTGTTTTATTCATCTTTATATTCTTAATGCCTAACACATAGGTACTCTTTAAGTGTTATTGAACTAAATTATTAATGGACCGAAGGAAAAACTGGTTATAGTAATGGAAAACAAAACATTTTCGTATGCTTTTCTTGTAGTACTATATGTCCATTCTTCACAAAAGCAGTTTTCTGATTGCTTTGCCGTTTTAACTTTCCCAAATTGTTTGATATGCTGAACCCAGTTCTTACTGTTTTGGCCTGTGCTTAATTGAGCTCAACAAAGTAATCAGAAGTCTGAGTCTGGAGCTCACTTATCTGTGCCTATAATTTAATCAGAGATGTATATAGCCCAAATTTAGTAGCATGTGCATATTATTAAGAATCTTTGTATTTTGCTTATTTACTGTCATAATAGCAGAATAAAATTTTTTGTTGAAAGCTTATTATGTCAGAGAAAAGATTATTTCAAGATTATTCAGTTTTCCTTTTGAAGGTACTATGGGAGTACCCCTAGCCTGACGATCCTCTTCTGATACTCTTTTATCATCTTCTTTTTCACATTCAGTTTAGAGTTAAAGTGGGAATTTTTTTAAGCATGTTTTCCTGGCATCTCATGTTTAACAGTGTCAGGGGTTTGTGTCCCTGGAACGAAAACTGTTTCTCCAGAGCCTTTTTTCTCTCAGCTTCCAGTGAAAAGAGGGGCGAGGCGAGCCAGTCGCTTACCACAAAGCAGTGCCACCACAAAGGAAAGATTAAGGGTTTAGAGAAAGGTCAATGTGGGTTTTTCTCTAACTAAACACTTTCCTAAAGTTTCCTTGTGGAAAAATAATGAAGTCATCTCAGAGTTTTTAAAGAATTTTTATTTCTTTTTCGCCGTCTGCATTCGCTTGTCTTCTCAGCATGGATGTTTAATCTTCCTAGGCTTTGTGAATTGGCCCAAATGAATAAGTGGTGAGCTGTCTCTCTAGGAGCTAGAGGCTTATTCTAAGGGCCTAATCACTGAGTAAACACATCTTTGCCCTCCCTCTCACAACTGCGATATAATAGTCGAGATTCTAGCACAGTAACCTGGATATTGCAGGGACCAGTGCTTTGAAATGCAGAATGGTTGATCCTCCAAAACAGTGCCTGATCTTCGCCTGCCTCTTTCTTCTTTTTTAAATTAAATATTGCCAAAGAGATGCTGTTTTATTGCTTGATATTGTGCATTAGTGCCCTGGATTTCCAAGTTTAGTTTCAGTCAACACTGTGGGCTGCACTTATAGGGAACTCTGCGTGTTGGGTTTCTTAGTAGCCTCTTTAGCACATGTGTGTTTGGTTTGGAAGAACATTTAAATTAAATCAGTGAGATAGCAATGTAAATCACTAATCTCTTTCCCAAAGTCTAAATGTTCCATTGCAGTGTTCTTGAAAGAAATATGCATTTTAAAGATTTAGCCATTGACATTGTTTGGTTAGAAATGTGCTGATTTAAAAGTGGACAGCTCTCTTGTTCCCAGTGTCTCATTAAATGTAGTTGCTGAGATACGATCAAGCCGAATTAGAGGTTGACATCCCTCTGTCTATTCAGCTAGAGAGCTCCTAAGAAGAGGAGCTGTGAATTTGTTAGTGGTGCCAGGTTCATGTTCCTTTTCCTAAAGCAGCAGAATTCTTGATTCATTTACTAAAATGGCTTTAGCATTGCTGCTCCCATTGAGTGTCTTTTTTGCCAGGGAGCTGTGGTTGGTATCAGCTTTGAAGTTTTTTTTTTCTTAATCAAACAGGCTGAGACCTATGCAAGTTTAACAATGTAAAGAAGACTGGAAGAGACCACATCCTCGCCCTTGAGAGACTTAATCTAGAGGGGAAAGTGGTAAACAATTATGGGAAGAGAAAGAGGCCAGGAAATGGAAGCTCTTAACTTTGCCTGAGGGAATCAGGGGAGGTTTCATAGAGGCATTTGATTTGAGCCTTAAAGCTGCAATCCCCAACTCTTGGGCCGCAGACCAGTACTGGTCCATGGTCTGTTAGGAATCTGGCTGCCCAGTGGGAGGTGAGCAGCAGGCAAGCAAGTGAAGCTTCATCTGTATTTATAGCCACTCCTCATCTATATTTACAGCTGCTCCCCATTGCTTACATCACTGTATAAGCTCCACTTCCTGTCAGATCAGCTGTGACATTAGATTCTCATAGGAATGCAAACCCTACTGTAAACCGCGCAGACGAGGGATCTAGGTTGCACGCTTCTTGTGAGACTTTAATGCCTGAGGTCTGAGATAGAGCTGTGGCGGTGATGCTAGCACTGGGGAGCGGCTACAAATACAGATTATCATTAGTACAGAGGTTTGACTGCACAATAAATGTAATGCACTTGAATCATCCCAAACCATCCCTTCCCCACCCCGGTCTATGGAAAAATTGTCTTCCATGAAACCGGTCCCTGGTTCCAAAAAGGTTGCCTTAAAGGGTGAGTAGGAATTTACTGGATAAGTATCTGTCAAACAATGTATCTATTTACAAACTTCCTAGAAGCCTGCTACTGTTCTCTGTAGACATCAACATGGATGAAGAAATCCTGAGTCTTTCTTGTTCCCCACTTTATGGCTAATGCTTCCTGCTGGGCCTGACACAAAGAATACTTCAACAAATGCTTGTGGAATGAATGAATAAATGAATTAACACATAGAAGCAGGATAGGATCAACTGAGCTACTTATACCCAAGAGTCCTGTCCTTATTCCCATTACATGCTGTGTCTAAGTCCTGGAAACAATGATGTTATAAGCAGTCTGACATCTTCATATTATATGAGTGCTCCCACAAGCCTTGACTACAGTGTGGTTGTTTTCCCTCTATCACTGTAGTATCAGAGAAAGAACATTTAGGCTTAGAGTCAGACAATCTGGTATCCAGTCTCAGCTGTATTACTTACTAGCTAGCTGTGAAATTTGGGACAAGTCAGTTTTCTAAACCTCAGTTTCCCCATATGCTAATGAGGTTAAGAATGTCTATTTTACAGGTTTATTCCTAAGATTAAAGTAGATAATGGTCATAAAACTATGTGTCTCCTATTCAGAGGTGAAGCTTTTAGAATATTAATCTACCTATCTAACTCTGGCTACCCTCATTTAGTACAAAATTAACGTTAGAAGAAAATATTTTAATAATTGCTTTATTATTACCATTATTATTATTTGGATTCTTTATCAAGATAATTCCAAGCATCAGACTTCATTAGCCTTTCATCAGCATGAACCTTATATTTTTCTATAAGTATCCTTTTGTTTAGAATCTCACACAGCAAATTTTCATTTACTATCATCATATCCTTATTTAGTAAGAAGGAAAAGATCATAAGATTCCTTGACATTTTCCTGTGGTAGAATTTCACAGATTGGTTTCTATGTTGTCTTTATTATAAAATTTTATCTTTCCTTTTTCTGGTAATTGTGACTATTCTTAAATTCAGCTGTTCTATAAGGTAGCATCAAGAAGTTAGTCAACAATTTAGGCTTTTTCGTCCTCGTAGACATTGTTGTTGAAGCTAACATATTGCAAATTATAAGCAGAGCTACTTAACGCTCATTGTTCTTGTTATACCTATTTCCTTGTTCAATTTCAGTTTTTAGTTTCAATTATTTTATTGAATTTCCTACTATGATAGATGATACTTTTAAGAGAGCAAGTGTCATTTCTTAAAGGCAAGTTTTACTATGGCAAAAAGGAAAGAATAATTTTCCATCTGAGGAACCACATTGGACATTTTCTGAAATATAAACTAGAAAGAATTCATGTGAACTGAATTTTTGTCATCTTTTCAAGTGGCAATTAGATAGTACATTCTCTTAAATAAGGGCATTAATATAGGAACATGTTACCTGTGGAACTAAAACAAAACTTCACTTCAGACCTTTTCCTTTCAAGTAGAAGAGACTATTCAGTGTTCAGATTAAACCCTAAAAAATATGTAAGAGGGATTTTATGCCATCCAATCTTAATGAGTATTTTTTCTCTGTATAGTTTGAACAGTTCAAAGTTAATATTTCCCTTTACATACAAAGCACATATTAAATAAGAATGGTAATTCCATTTTATTTAAGGAAAATGCAGTTCTGTTGGAATTTCTGCTTGAGATAGGTTTGCACATGTTAACAGATATCTACAATAGTAGTCTGTAAAACTAGATATAATCATCCTAGCCTTTTAAAAGTAGAAGTAAGCAAAATTTATTGAGATAAAGTCAGATGCTTTAGGAACTCCAAATGTAAGGTACTCTTTTAGGGAATAGCATTTAATTTTTGTCTTTTTTATTCATATAGACTGATTATGCCTCTCCAAAATGCAAGATGTCTTATTACATCAGTGGATGCTTTAATTGATCAGTCTTTTCTCCTCTTTTCAGAGAAAGCTTCTTGCTGTCTACCTCCACCATGATGAAAGTGTATTAACCAACGTGTTCTGCTCACAAATGCTTTGTGCCGAATCCATTGTTTCTTATCTGAGTCAAAATTTTATAACCTGGGCTTGGGATCTGACAAAGGATGCCAACAGAGCAAGGTAATACTGTTGTTCACAAGTTATAGGTTGGGCTTCTATTTAAAAAAAAAAGTCATCATGTGTTTGGTTTCCATCATCATAAACATTTTTTATCCTCAGCACTAAATTCTCTACCATTGTATTTCATTAGATGGAAGCTATTTGTTGTGGCTAACACATATAGTTATTTATAATTATGAAAATATACCTTAAATTCTAAAAGACTTCTTAAATTCAAGAGTAACCTATAAAGAAAAATTAATTTCTCGTTTTTTTTGCAATATGATACAGTATAATTCTAATATGTTATTGAACCTTAAGAAAATCAGTCTTTTTAATAATATTCAGAAAAGGCAAAGCAAGTCTCTTATATAATCCTAGTTGTAAGTTTATTTTTAATAACTTCAGTAAAGAAGGCAGGACATTCTCTACCAGTCCATTGGAGTTGGTAATAGCTTAACTCTAGCATATGCTAATTGATGTGATCGCTTTATTGCACACATTCTTTTGCACACAGCCAGCAATACATCCATATTCTCAATAGGAAAAAAAATCTCTTTCCTAGCTGTCAGGATAAGTTTACTTCGTTTGTTAATCATAATATCTGTAAGTAATGAATAATTCTTCGTATTTTGCTCATTTGAGTTTCCCATCTGAAATATATTTCATCATGTTTAATTACACATGTGACCATCACAGCCCATGATGCTACTTTGGGTGTGTTAAAACAATCATAATCACAGGCTGCTGGCTTATGAACAGGGAGATTAAATTAATTCATTTCAAGGCAGGCCTATTATAGCTAACCTTATTTAAGCAATTATAGAACAATTAGGACTCATCTGATTTGTCTTTTTATTATTGTATGGCTCACTGAATTTTTGGTCACCATTCAGATTTTGTTTTATTTAATCCAAATCTGTAAAGAAAGATGATTCTTCCCCTTAAATGTGAGGCAAAAGAATGTTGAAGCAATTTCTTCACCTAATACTTCATTTCTTTAAGCAAATGGTTAGGAAATTTCATAGGAAATTTCGTTCTGCCTTGGAAGTGTTCCCTGTTATACATAAATAAAGAACCTTTAGCACCTGTATTTGTTTAAATTAAATCAGGTTATTATTCACACTCAGTTAAAGGTGATGAAAAGCAGTGCCAAAAACAGATAAAAATGCCACATCGAAGGTCTTTCATGAGGCAAAATACATAGACTGGAGACTTGGCTAAATCTTTTGCCATTCACTGGCAGTAAGGAATCTCCTCCTTTTCTTTTATCCACAACTTGATGGAGAAGGAAACACTATTTCTAAACCATCTGTAGTGGCTAAGTTCAGTGGGCTACCTGCTGTTATTTTGTTCTATCCTCCATTTAATTCCTTAGTTCCTTTTATTTTACAATGACAAAAAATTGCAGTGTAGTTTCTTTTGAAAAACAGTGTTTGAGGGTTTTTTTTTATGACTGGCAATCAACAGCCATGTAATTGCTTTGTTATGTTTTACTAAAGAAGTCTGTTAAGTAGCACAACTTTGATACACTAGTAATAAGAGTTTGCAGGTTACAGAGACACCTGTGGTGACCAAAGCGACAGAAGCTGCTTATTAGAAAGAGCCAGTACAGCTGTGTCCTATTAACTCCTTATGACACTTTTTTAAAAACACTAAATAAAGGCCTTGTTTAATGCTTTAGAGCTATTGATGGATTTCAGGACCAACTATGAAGTATGATAGGATATTTCAATCTATATTTTTAAAAATGTGGTATCCCATTATTAAGTATTGTCATAAAAATAAAAAGAAGTGATATTAAAGACTAAAAATAGAAACATCTAGGAATTCAGTTTTTTAAACATGTATAAGAGCCACACACAGGGAAATGGAATGATTCTGAAATTTAAGATACTTGGCATCCTTATTGAAAATCTAATTCTGTCTATATTACAAATTAAAAACTATTTTAAGTTAAGGTATTAAATTTCTCTATATTAAAGTAACAAATAAAATTACATAGTTACTTTTGATGTCCAGTTCCATCATTATTACTATTAAGAAAAATGGGAAAATGCACATTTTACAAACACAAGATGAAAATTCATTAGAATGGCGTATTCCCAAAAAAGAGTAAAAGTAGATTTCCTTCGATATATAAAACCATAGATAATTAGGCTGATTTATTGCCCCCCCAAAATGGTTTAGGTAAGACACAATTTTCTTACCACCTATCATAGATTCATCTAAATAAGATTGTGTAATTGGATTTCCTCCTGTATGATCTTTCTTGGATTTTTACACCACATTTATCCAAAGGTGTTTATCATGAAAATTGATTGCATCATCCATTAGATGCTTATATTAATAACTTTGAGTTACAGAACCTCACATTTTCACTCAATTCAATAGAAGACTGCTTGCACTAATATTTGTTAATCTGTGGGGTATGTATCAGAAGTGTTATGTGACATTTGCATATTACTAGAGAGCTGAGATGGGCCATATTAATATATGGAAATACAGAAGAGATTTCTAGGCATCACAAGTAAAATTGTTGTGGGTTTCCTTTTAACTGTGATTTCTTTAAAACAGATATAAATTTCAAAATGAATTCCTGGTGGATAGCTTATCTGATCCCATATCTGATTATCCAACTTCAAACTAGTCATATAAATTTAAAGAATCCTGGGCCTGTTAGTGATTTGGTCTTGGTGGTTCTTTAGGACTATCACCTGATGTTATAGCTGGGGCTATTAATGTCCAAGATGGCAAAGGATTTAATACTCTTGCTTAAGGAATACTCTGATTAAGCCTATAAAAACATTAGTCCTTCAATCACAATTTACTGTGACTCTCTCTTGTATAGAATTGAAGGATATTAAACTAAGTGAATGCTTTGGTAAAGTTACCAGAATATGAATATCACTTGCTATTATAAAGTAAATTTCCTGATTTCTCTAACAAACTGGAATAAAAAAGAAACAGATTTCTATAAAATGTCATAACCCCTGTGATTGTTGGTGATTTAGATTTCACACCTCTAAAATGACTCTAATAACTTTCTTCCTGAATTGAATACTTAAATTGACCAACCCATATCTATATAAAAACATTGGAATGGTTTCTAGGTTGATCTTGGAACATTCCAAGTATGACCTGAGTCACCAAACTTTAGCAGTAATGATTAATGCCTGTCTTTCCCCCTACTAAATTGTGATCTCCTAGAAGAGTTTATTCATTTTATTTGTCTCATTAAACAAAGCACTTTAAAAAATTCTAAGAAAAAGAAACCCAATAAGCATTTAGCAAATAAATATATGCATCCAATTCCATCTAAGAATTTTGCTTCTAATGTCAATATTACATACTAAGTGGGCGTTTTTTTCTTGGAAAATTCTGTACAGTCTTGGCTGCCATGTTTTGTTGGATTTCAGGGCCATTCTTTCTTTCTTTTTTTTTTTTTTTTTTTTGAGACAGTGTCTCGCTCTGTTGCCCGGGCTAGAGTGCCGTGGCGTCAGCCTAGCTCACAGCAACCTCAAACTCCTGGGCTCAAGCAATCCTACTGCCTCAGCCTCCTGAGGAGCTGGGACTACAGGCATGCGCCACCATGCCCGGCTAATTTTTTTTCTATATATTTTTAGCTGTCCCAGTTAATTTCTTTCTATTTTTTTTTTTTGGTAGAGATGGGGTCTCGCTCTTGCTCAGGCTGGTCTCGAACTCCTGAGTTCAAACGATCCACCCGCCTCGGCTTCCCTGAGTGCCAGGATTACAGGCGTGAGCCACTGCGCCCGGCCAAGGGCCATTCTTTCTTAAAGCAGTAGACAGAAAGCCCTTAGTAGTCTTGAGGTTCCAGAGGGTATGATTTTTTTTAATTAAAAAAAAATTTTATTTTAAAGTTGAGGTTTTTCCATGTTGCCCAAGCTGGAGTGCAGTGGCTATCAGAGGCTCAGTCATGGCACACTGCTGCCTTGAACTCCTGGCCTCAAGCAGTCCTCCCGTCTCTGCCTCCCTGGTAGTTGGTGCCCACTACTGTGCCAGGCTGTAATTTCTTAAACATCCATTTGACAATGATCCTGATAGAAATAGTAGGATATACCAGTAAATGGAAGAGCTAAAAACAGAGAGGAAATAGTAAAAAAGGAGATCCTGCAAATCTCCTGGTATCCCTGGAGGATTGGTTCCAGGACCTCCCATGGATACCAAAATCTGTGGATGCTCAAGTCCCTGATAGAAAATGGCATAATATTTGCATATAATCTAGGCACATCCTCCCATATACTTTAAATCATCTCTAGATTACTTATAATACCTAATATAATTTAAATGCTATGTAAATAATTGTTATACTGTATTGTTTAGGTAATAATGACAAAAAAATCTGAACATGTTCAGTACAGATGCAATTTTTTAAAGATAGTTTTGATCCTCTTTTAGTTGAATCAACAGGTACAGAACCCACAGATATGAAAGACCAACTGTATTCCTTCATGTTTATTCATTGAATAAACACTTAATGAATATTTCATATGAACCAGGAATGGTGCTATGCTCTGAGGATGAAATGTTGAACAAGACACAATCCTAACCCTCAAAACACTCATAGTCTAGTAGGCAAGGCAGACATAAGTGTTTATATATAATATGAGGTATGTACTTTAGCAGTACAGATGAACTTCATAGTGAGTTGCTATACCTGAGGGGGTTCGGAGAAGGACTTAGATGACAAACAGATGAAATTAGAATTTCACTCTTTCTGTTCAGAGATTTTTATATTACTGTGATAAAATTCCTAGTCTACTGGATTACAGATTTTGCTATTTTTTACTAAACAGTATTAGTATTTAAAACCTCATAATTAGGTATCTAGAATGAAGGGTCAGTGGTTGAGATAATTGTGAAAGGGAGAAAAAATAGAGGGAGCTGGCCAGCTAATGTAATCCTGTATGGTCTGAACCAGATTGAATTAAGGTCCACCAATGGGGATGGACAAGTCCAAAGAAGTTGTTTTATTAACGATTCACTTCGGCGGTTTCCCA